ACCCCAGCCCCACTGCCAGCCTGGGCCCTGTGCCAGCTCCAGGCTCGCCCATCACGGCCGCACATGCTGACAGCAGCTGCGGCCCCCCCGCTTGATGCGCTGGGCAGTGTTTGCCACCACCACCTGTGGGCTGCCCAGCACACGAGCTCCAGGCAAACAGCAACAGCCAACACTGCCCAGCGTGGCAAGTGGGGGGGCTGCAGCTACTGCTGCCGTGTGCAGCCCCGACAGGCGAGCCTGGAGCCAGCGCGGAGCCTGGGCTGGCAGCAGGGGTGGGTTACAAGCTAGTGCTGAGTGCAGAGGGATGGAAAAGTGCGCCCTCACCTGCCCTGTGGCCAGTGCCCCTTGCTGCAGCCACTTGCAGCTCATGTGGGGCTGCCTGTGCCTGCTCCAGACAGCCCCACCTGGGCTGCGAGCGCCTGCAGCAGGGAGTGCTGGCCATGGGGCCACTTTTCCCAGCGGTCAGCACCAGCTTCTTCCCTGCTGGTGAGCAGGGAGTCGGGCTTGTGTGCTGCCCCTGTCTGTACCGTGGGGTTGGGGGGCACTGGGAGTTGAGCAGGTGGAGGAGCCAGCGGGAGCACAGGGCCTGCACCAGTGTCCTGGGGCCAGTGCCAGTGGGGCCCAGAGCAAAGTGGCAGGAGGACAGGGGCCCAGCCAGCAGGGGCTCTATGGAGCCGGGCCAGATCCCCCCCCTCTCCCTGCTGGTGCAGTTCAGACCAGCTCCACAGACCCCTGCCAGCCTGTGCCCTGCTTTGGGCCCCACCAGTGCTGGCCCTGGGACATTGGTCCCAAGACATTGGGACACTGGTCCCAAGTTGGTGGCCAAGGAGCGAGGCACCTGTCAAGGGGTGGGGCTACCCATGCGGCCTGCAACAGCCTGCCAAAACTGGGTAAGCAGCCCTCTGTCCGAAATAGTTGCCCACCCCTGTTCTAGGTCTTGTTCTTCCAGAAGTAATCAGCTGTAGTTTACAGAGAAAAAAGGAGAGAGAGGAAAAAAAGGACAGAGGATTTTTATATTCCTTTTATAGAAAGAAAGGGGGAGGAAACATAGCAATAATTTGGAAAAAAATATCCTGTATCAGCTAACTATGACTTTTGGTTACAACAACAACAGCTGGGGATTACCACTGAAACAGTAGAAGTACAGTGCACTCTTTATAGATTATAGTCTATTGTACCAGACAATTACAGGTTCTCATTTCAAGTTCTACAACTACTTCAATTTACCTTCCACTTCAGCTCAAACAAGCTATATCCTCTAGTGTTAATGTTGTACTGATCTCTGTCCGGATTTAGTCAGTTACCATGAAATGCTCAAAGCCTCCCAGGCCCTTTTCCTCAGGCTGAGGTAGCCCTTTCAGTTATTAGGGAGCCTCAAGACAGCTGGTTTCAAAAGAACTTTTCAATCTTTTGTCATGATTTCTCCTTCCTTGCTGCAGCTTCCTCTCCTCTTTACTTATCCGAAAACAAATGCTCTTCACAAATTCTTCCCAGTTACTCCCTCCAAACACACAGACTGCTATTAAAGATCCTTAACCAGCCTGTGTGCTAGTCACCTGGACCAATGAGCTCTCTAATTCCCTCCACCTGGGAAGACAGGCTACACCTGGTAACTTGCCTTCCGGGATGATTTTTGCCTTGGCCATGACTTCTTCCTTACTTCTGTAAAGCTGGCCTGAGTTGTTATGATGCAGAAACAGCATGCTTCATAAATCCAGATTGATTGTACATGGAAATGATGTAAAATTCTATTAAATTAAAAGATGCAATAGAATTAAAGCAAGCATGCTGGAAAATATACTAATATACATAGTTATTATTACCCATTTTATTGAACTTATGTAGCCTGAAGGGTAAAACACAGGTTTTGGTTTGTTTTTTCTAAAATACCAGAAGGGATTAGTTAAATATGAAGACTTAACACTAGCAAAATTGTATCTGAAAACAAGTTCAAACATTTACAAGTTAAGCCACTTTTGTGTTAAGCTTGACAAAAAAAAATCTTAATGCAGACGTAGATTTCATTTTTGCTGCCATAGCAGTAAAAATAATGGCTTAACAGAATTACCAGAATTGCAAAAGACAAAACAAATTTGACATATTGTACAATAAGCTTGTCCCAATTGACTTGAAAATAGTAGCTGCATTAAAAGAGTCACAAGAACCATTGTTTATAATAGAAATATAGTTGAGCCCTTTTATATATAGCTGCACTACCGCACTTGTTCTAACGTATATTTATATTCAAAGCAATTTAAAAAGGACAGATATGTAGGACTTCTCATTTTATAGCAACTTTGAGATGGAATTTTTAAAATAATAAGTCTGCACAATTTTACTTATGGTTATACTGCTATATATCAGGAATAATCCTATTGTATTCAATTAAATTATTCTGGATTTATATTTTATCAGAATAATAAAAACCAGTTGTGACCCTTTGACGCCAACATGTACCATCTATATATGAGTCATGTGAAACAGAATTAAATTAACTTAATTATTATAAAGCAGTTGTGTTTTAAAATAAGTACTAAGTACTGTAATAAAACATATAGTACTTTAGTATATTTTACATTAATATTTAAAATTTAAATTACAATGTGATGTACTTATATTGTACAGAGTAATTTTTCCTATAGTAAATATATAATATATAACAATTGTGCCAAACTTCACTATTTCAACTTCCTTGTTCTGTTTTTAATGTATTTTGGCCATTGATTCTTTTTCTCCAAAGCACACTTTTAAAAAAGAAAAAAAAGCCACCAAAAATTAACGTACATAAGACCATATAATATACATATATGTGGCAGGGAGAGAGGGTAGATAAATAAGGCAAACAACTCCCATGACTCATCTGACTTCATTACAGTCAATGGAGCAGCCTAGCTTACAACATCTGTTAATTTGATATTTATTGTCTAAATATGGATTGTGATGAAATAGTAAGTTAATCACGATGTATGAGGTGACTTTTCACAACTCATTTATACTATACAGATGTTAAGGCAATGTGGGAAATTCTTTCTGTCTCTCATATCTCAAACTCTGCACTTAAATCCACAAGGGTCTTTACACCTTAAAGATATATTTCACTTTCTTCTGTGGATGGTAAGCAACCCCCATCACATGCTACAGTGAGGTGGTGGAGAGCATTTGGAGAGCACCTCAGAAGCACTTATTCAATTATGGCACCAAAAACTGAAGGGAAAGTTGGAATGAACTCTCTAGCTCTGAAAACACAATTTCCACTCAAGAGCTCACCCATGACAAAATTATCCTTTGCCTTCATAAAAGCAGTTCTGGAAGCAAATTTATTTCCCCTGAATTATCCCAAGTTTCTCTTTTTAATTTCCCAGGGAGACCTTCAAATGCAAGAAATTTCTTCCCACAGACTCTAAATTCAACTTCTGCATGAAAAGATTTACATTCAATGCATTTTTTACTCCCAGCTAAACACAATCCATTGCAGAGAACTATTTTTTAATTTGAACTAGTTTAAGCTTGTTTGCCAAGTTATAATCTTTCTTTCCTTGATTATAATTATGAGAACAACAAATGTAACTCAGTGTGTTTCAATCCTTCATATTCCTTATTTGTAAACACATGTGGCTCTGGCACATGAAGTCTATCATAGGCTAAAGAAAATTATGTGGGAACCCCTTATTAAAATAACAGTAAAACATTTCTGCCAGCACTGCATACTTGCTTTGCACTAACCAGCTACCAAACTGTTGTCCTCATCCTACACTGCTCCTTGGCAGCCTAAAAAAGCAGCATGTCACCATTATCATAGATGGGATCTTGCTAGCTATTGCTTATCTAGCATTTGATATGTACCTATATGGAGAGTAACTTTCTGTTTCCCAAAGTCCAAAAGCTATTGAACCTAATGTGTTGGTACATTATTCTAATTTGATGCTAATTGGCCCTAGTGTGCCATCCTTTAAGTGCTGAAATATGAAAGTGACTACTGACAACATAAGCTCCCACTTTGAGTGTTTGTGCTTTTATACTTAAGAAGCACTATTACCTTTCACCCAGAATGTAATATGTGTTGGCTCTTTTCACCCTCATTACAGCCACCAGGTGGTACACAAATTATATAGCTAAGGAATGGCTATTGGTATGCAAGAAAGGATTATTAGGGTCTGTAGTAAAACAGCTAGACCATGTTCTTCACTGGGCCTGATCTTTATGCCTCAATCTCCAAAGGAACCATGAAGGAGCTAAGTAGGCGGTGTCAGATCTGTACTTTTTGGAAGACCCAGAACTAATACACAGCATATTTTACCCTGCAGCTTTCTTCTTGAGCATAGCTTTTGGGTCATTCACAAAGAGATAGCTCAAGAACAGCATCTTGCCCAACACATGCTGTTCTTAAAATTAAATCCTATTCTACCCCTATTCCATTTGGCGTAGAGAGGGAGAGATAGGATACGGATAGCTTCTGCAGATGGCTGCATCCCATGTCCATGTCTATGCACACAGTGTTGCCAATTCTCATATAAATAAAAGAAAGAGCTAAGTTTTTCATGCCAGAAATCATAAGAATTGGCAACACTGTGAGTGAGTGGATACACCAGCTCAGCTGAGCAGAGGGAAAGAAATGATAAGAGCTACTGCAAGTGGAAGGTAGATTCCTTCCACCAGCACCAGTGGAACTACCTTTTGCCAAGCTTAACTACTTAGATTGGACAAAAAGACAAGATTTAGTCCTAGAAAGACAAAAATTGAAGGACATAAACCATATTTTTACACAAACAATGAACAGAAAGACTGAAGAACTGCAAACAAATATAATATGTGCTCCAACAAAAAGGGAAAATGCTTTTTTTAGTGCCAAGTGCTCAGTTAAGTCTTAGAAAATCAGAGATTAAACAGCCTTTTTCTCATACCTTAAAATGCTGGGTTTTTTCCCTTTGATTTGCAGGAAGACAGGTGCATTGGAGCACAACCATCTCATTGGTGATATTCGTCTGGCTGTTCTCTGCTTTTTGGTCTGTGATGCCACTATTGGGGTGGGGTGAATATAACTATGAGCCCCTAAGAACTTGTTGCACATTGGACTACTCTAAAGGAGACAGGTAAGGAAGTGCATGGTAATTTCCTATCTGTTTTCTGTGAAATGGGGTATAATGGCAACAGCAAGTATTTTTCAGTGTTAATGCCAGCATCTTGCTGTCCTAAGCAACTGCCTACCAGCTATCTAAAGAAGGATAAATGGGTAGAATTGTGCTTGCTAGTGCATTTTATAAACCAAATGCAAAAATAATTAACAATGTCTTTTTTCCCCCACCCACCAGAAATTATGTCACATTCCTTTTTGCTCTGGCCATTTTCAATTTCCTGATCCCAGGCTTCATCATTCTGACAGCTTATCAGTCCATAGAGCACAAGTTCAAGAGAACTGGACAGTTTAAGGTAAGAACATTTCTCAAACTCCCCCACAAAACTTGGACCACTTATGAGTTATAAAATCCTGAAAAAAGAATTCCCCCCAATTCTACTTAGAAAGTCTTTGAAACAATCTGTTCCTCTCCTAAAAAATAAACCCCAGGTTATTCACTAAAAAAGCTCAGGAGTAGCTTTGCTCAAAAAGTTGAAAACTATATTTCTTAATACAGACTTTTAATACAAAGCTCTCAGAAAACGGCAACACTATAAAGATATGTTACACATATTCAGTTTCCAAGTGTGGGCAGGAGGGGAAGTTGGCTTTACAAATGTAGCTGCTTTACACTTGGCTGAGGTAATTCAGAAATCTTTATGAGGTGGAAACAAAGGACTTGTTTCTTCAGCAATGCTCTGGAGCACCAAGTTTCTGATGATGTAATGTAGTGATTATATAACCTGGTTTCTTAGGCACATACTGCACATTCAGTGGGCTTTACCCTTGACTAGTCGGTACAGACTGAGCACTCTCAGCTATCAGAAACAGTTAATTCTTAGGGATAGTATTTTAGTGGAAAGGGTTTGTCCAAGCTGATTAATGTATAGTTGAAAGTTTGCAGCAGTGTGTGGTATTATGGGGTCTACTTATGAGGCAGGAAATGTGTAAGCCTTAACATGAGTATTCAGTATGCAGTACTCAAATACTATGGCAAGCTTATGAAATAAAGAAGGCATTAGTGACACTGGAAGTTTTGATTCTGGTATTTATGGCAGCATAGCTAATTTTTGCTTGCAGTATTTTCTTGTACAATTTATTGTTTGTGCAAGTCTTTCCAAAGTTCACAAATGGTCTCCCTATCCTGATTTTTTTACCTCACAAAGTTTCAATTTTCCTTCCCACTTGAGGTTTTCAGTGGACATTAAACTACTCACACTTCACCTTGTCAGTTTACCATATGATGTATTTTTATTAACTCTGGCAACAGGACTTGCCAACTGACTGAGGCCATGGACAGACATTCATTTCTAGTACTTCACAGTATTCTAGTATTTCACAGAAATTCTTAGCACTAGAAAAAGAGTTTGGGAGTCAGAGCCTACAAGCTCTCCAGCCAGAAGGCACTAGGGCTAAGGACAGACATTCAAAAAGCCTGAGCCTGAATTGATTCAATCTTTGCAAGTTAGTCTAACCTGGCTAGGCTAAATCAGTTTTGTAACCAGACAGACATCCCAGTAATGCAGGCACATGCCTGCAGTGGCTCTGGCTAGAAGCCAGGGGGTGCTAGAGCAGCCCTCCCTTCCCTTGTACAGGGCTGAGCTGAGGGGGGCATGGCCAGGCCCTGGCTTCTGATTATTTGGGAGCCCCACCCCCTTTATAACAGCATGTGTCAGCTCTGTTAACAGCATTTAATACCCCATCAGAAAACAAAAGCCTCACTCATTACAAGCTCTTCTTAAACACTTTTTTCCAAAGGAAAATGCATCCCAGCCTCTGGCTCCTTTACTATTCATTTCATTCAGGAAGACCACACACCAACTGCAGATGCTTCCTCAGCCTGACAAAGGGTTTTTAAACCCAAAAGCTTGTCAAGAAATTTTTTTCCAATTATTTACTTGATCTAATAAAAGATAACAGATTTACCCAAAGAACCCTGTCTGCCTTTTCCAAAGGAAGGAATGCAGGGACATTACCATCTGAGCTGTTGATTATCTCCAAAAAGCCCTAAGCGGACACTGTCTTATCTGCCTTACACAGCATTAGCTAGCATACCACACGCTGGCTACAGTCTGTGCTGTGCGAGAGAGGAGGAAGGGATCTCTGCTTAAGCAGTGAGTGGTAAGAGAGGGGGAGGGGGGCACAGGGAAGTCAGCAGACTTTGCTGTGCCTGCAAGTCTCTGCCAGTACTCCAACCAGGGAGCAGAAGGGAGGGGCCAGCTCCGCTGTGGAGCAGAGAGCCCAGCCCAGAGAGCATGCCAGGATGCTGGAGGGTTCTGGTTTGGCTTAAATCAACAAAGGGTCTGGGACATAAACCAGTTTGGCCCAAGTCAGTTAAGTCTGATACTACATTCAGCCAGATTTATCTCAAACTGGTTTTAGCCATTTTCAGACTGGTTTATGAGCAATGTATGTTTGTTCTGTTACAGGTTTAAACCAGTTTCTGATCACTTAAACTGGTTTATGTGTAATGTCCATCCCTAGCCTAGGGGACTGCTCCTTGAGACACCCACCCCCCGCCACTGCTAAGGGAACCTATTGGGCAGGGGCTGGCTGTCAATAGGCATCTGATAGCTGTCAAAAAGCAGCAGCTGCCATGGGCAGCCCTTCACCCTATAGAATTGATAACAGTAAGGAGAACTGCTCTACTAGCCTCTTCCACTCCCTGCCTCCTGCATCAAGCAACAACACCCTCTAGGTGACTCAGAGGGGTGCGCAGAGCAGGGGCCATTGTGTCACAACTGGAAGGGGAGAATGCTAGCCCCCTGTCTCATTTTACCAGTAACTGGGATGGGTCCACCTGTGGGAAACACATCTGGTTCACAGTCTGGGCAGGAGAAGTAGGCAGATACCTATGGCTACTTCCAGCTTGGGGGAACCCTTACACAAACCTAGGGTGACCCAGGTGTGTTTAGTGGCTGGGGAGCACCAGCATCCACAGGGCATCCCTGGGAAGGAGAGTGAGAAGAGCACTGTAAGATACTGGGTGTCCTCAACACCCAAAAGAAGCATACAGACACTCTAGCATAGGAGGGGAAAGATATTTCTAGTCAGAAGAGAAAGAACTTTCTTGCAAAAGAGCCTGTTTTGTTCCTCAGGAAAACCCTTAAATGGCTGTATTCTCTCTGTCTCTTCTGGGAAAAGGGCTCTCTCCTAGCATGAATATCATGGCCTAAGCATGCAGTTCTAGCAGAGCAAGCACAAGGTACTGGGAGTCACATCCATATAATCCAAATGATCTCTATAAAAAAACAAAGGGCAATATATCAGTGCAGTACAAAACATATAATTAATCTATTTAAGACACCTTTACTGAGGTCGAACAAGGATTAATATTTCACTGTGTTAAATAGAGCATGTAATTCTATAGTTAAATGCATGTGTTGCCCTCATTTTTTTCAGTTTAATACTGGTTTACCAGTGAAGACACTGATCATTTGCTGGGGACCCTACTGCCTTTTATACTTCTATGCTGCAGTTCAAAATGTGACATTTATTCCACTTAAACTACAAATGGTATGTAAATATATTCTCAGATAATTAAAAATGCACATTGTTCATTCTTTTTTCTGACTTACTCTTATAGCACAATATCAGTTTAGGAATTAATACTTTGAAGCACAGAGTATAAATTAGAAGACAATAGTTTCTTTGTAGCGTATCCTACCAATTTTAGAGTAAAACAACTTAGTACAGTAATAAATATCATTAGCAGGATTATCACAACTGATTGCAAACAGTTTGTTTCATTTGTTGCTTCAGTAGATGGCTTTAATCTGCATCTGTAGCTTGAGCATTATTGGATTGTTCAGTTTTTCATCTGCCAACCAGTTCAGCTGTTATTATTCTAAAATGTCATTCTTTGCTGATACACTGCATTAATTTAGTAAGTGAACCTGTTATTAGCAAAGTCACTCTAACCAAAACGTAGCTTTATTTTTTTCCTCCGTGATTAAATACTGTTCTAGAACAGGAAAAGAAGAACCTTCCGACTTGGTTTTCTCTGCTCCGTATTTGCTGGAAAAAGCAGGAGATGCCAAAAAGCATACAAAAATGTTTAGCATATGCACATAAAGTGATTCAAAATCATTATAAACTTGTCTTGAGGGACTGATTGGCTCATGGATTCAGTAATAACATACGGAGCCTTTTATCTTTAGCTCACTGGTTAAACTCCGGTACAGATTGCAATTGACCAGAAGTCTTTAATCATATATTAGGTATTCAGTATCCCAAATGAAATGAGCTGGTGATCTCAGTTTAGTTCCCAATTGACAGGTGCCCACAGCATAAAATTTGCTTCTGCAAACTGCATTGGCATTCAGTTTCTGTCTTAACTGGTTGCATCTACATGAGCTGTTTACTGTGGAGTAGACTAATTAGCTCCCAGTAAACATCTTGGCATCTACATGTGCAGGACTATTAGACTGGACTAAACTAATAAACTCCACAGCAGGGTAGTACTTGTTAATGTCCCCAGACTTCCTGCCAGCCGGAGCTGTTCCAACCTGGCTCAACATGCTGTGGTCCCAGGCATACCTGTAAATACAGTGCCCAGGAGCAATAATCTCCAGCATAAGTGCCATGTGCATGTGATGCACCCACTGAAATGTAACAGGGGCACAGATGCTAGACTAATTTCTGATTTTTGGAGGTGCCCCCTTCCAGATCAGAGACCACTGGCTGGGTGGCATGTTGTCTGTTTTGCTGTTGTCATGTGCATGGAGGATTAATACTATCCAAAATCCTTTACCAGAACCAAATTCACTTAAAAAATAATCCATCCAATTCCTGCAATTAAGAATTTGTTTGGTAAAGGAGAAACCAAACAATTCTTAAGGCTAGACTGAAGTGATGCTACATGGATCCCTCTGGTAATTTCTCCAAACCAACTCTCCTTCCACCCCCCACCCCTTACCCCCAACACACACAGCCACACAATCTAACTTAATTTCATATTTAAAGTGTTGTGTCTTATAACAGGTTCCTGCCATTATTGCCAAGACTTCACCAACCATGAATGCCTTTCTATATGCCCTGGGAAATGAAAACTACAGAGGAGGAATATGGCAGTTCCTCACAGGACTGAAGGTTGAGAAAGCAGAGGTTGATAATAAAATTAAGTAACAAGTTTTTCCTTCCAGGTAAAGTTAATGTAGACATGTAACTGAAGGCAAAACAACATAGGAAACTATATACATACTACAACTTAATTAATGGTGCTTCCACATTGGAAAGGTTCTGCATTCTCTATAAGCAAGGAGATGTTAAAAGAAATCCAAAAGATATTACCAAGCAAAATTTGCTTCTCATATTTTTTCTAGATCATCACAGCTAGAACACTAAAACACCACACAAAAGAAAGTGAGTCAAATAACTCTTGAATTTTTATTTCAGTCTATTCTAGGCTGTTTGTCAAACAAATTGCCTTAAACACAATGTTGGTTGTAGTCAGTATCAGTTCGTGTGTCATTGCAGATCTTGTGTGTGCTGTGAAGCATTTTTTCTGCTAGACTAATGTCAAAGTTTAGAAAATTAAGTGAAGTAGGATATTAGGTTATCCAGTGAAGCCTACCAGAATTAATTTGCATTTGGTTTGTCCATATGCTATATCTGGATTACCAGAAGATTAAAGAGGTGTCCAGAATTATACCATATGTCTATGTAAATAGCTTGTTCATCTGAATCTTTTAAATTCATATATAATGAAAGTTTGCAAATGTACGGGGCTGAATCTGCCATCTTTATTTGTCAAAACATTCAAATGAGTGTTTTCTCCAAGTAAGAAATATTGGATTTGATCCTATCCCAATTTAATTCCTGTATATCATTCAATTTGCAACCAAGCTCTACCGCTGCTCCTCCCCTTCACAATGCGCCAACTCAGATTACTCCATTAGTTCTTTTCATATTTTATCAATCACTAAAACAAAGGCCAAAAATGGGCCAACTTTTGTTCTAAAACATCAGTGTAAATCTGGTGTCACCGAATTCCAATGACTTAGTGGAGTTACAATTCTCATGTCATTGAGAGGAGACACTGGCCTTACTGTAACTCAAGAAGCCAACAAGTACTAAATAACTACTATATCCTACTAAGATGAATATTGAAATTATTTCTAGTTATCAAGACCCTACATTTAAGATTTATTTTTTACTCAGTCATATTTTTCATCATTCCTAAATATCTGAAAACTGGCAGTTAGTTTTGCTTGTTGTCACAAGATATACCTCCAAATTATTTATAATTTAATAATACAGAATACAGAATAATACAGAAACCCAAATCTACTTGGATTTTACAGAGATCTTGCAATTAAATAAAGTGCTTTGAAACTAAATGGCATCATCTCAAACAAGTTTTATAATACTCTCACAGGCCACGTCCAGATGAGCATGGCCGTGTGGTATGCGGCACCACAGACACATCTGCAGCACCACATACTGCACATTCAGTTGTTCTCCACACTGCAAGGGAGCAGCAATTGAGGGGGAGGGCAGTTTGACCCCTGGTTATCCAGACGTCAAAAAAACCCGTGGAAAAAAATGCATAGAGGTACATGCAGGCTGCTCAAAATTGAAGCCTGGCCAGCTGGAGGGCCAGACTCTGCGCAGCAGGATCACCACTGCTGCAGCCCTGGGAGGCCCCCAGAACCTGAGGTAAGGCTGCTAAAGCCATCCCAGTGCTGACCCCAACCTCTCCTACCCCACCCAGGGAAACCTGCCATGTGCCACAGGGCACGTTGCACAGGAGTTCCCTAGGGACAACTAACAGCAGCATAAAGTGCACTGCTGCTAGTTGTCCCAAGGGTACCAAATGTCCACACACATGTGGACATGCCAACAAAGTATAGTCTGTGGGCCAAACAGTGTCTGAGAATTCCTGAAATGCAGCCCCTATATTCCATCTTCACAAAAGAGAAACAACCTATGGAAACTTTGGGTTTCAAGGGCCCTCAGATAAAAGTGGAGTGATAGCTAGTAGCTTCATTGATCTGCATCTGCATGTTAAGAGTAAGTGTGACTACAATCTGGTCTGTTTTTGCAAATTTGACATAGTCTTTGGGCTACTGGTGAATTAGCTATTCCAGCTATCAGCTGAACAGGGATAAAACAAATGGCTTTGAATTAACAGAACATAAGAAAAAATGTTGAAGTCCTCAAGGTTATATTATCTGATTCCATATCTGATAATTATATTAATATTTTACAGCATGCAGATTTTAATTCTGTCAACACTAAGAGGCACCCCTATATATACTTAGTATATTCATGCCCATTCTCCTCATTAGTATCATTGGGAATTATTTTTATAAGACTTTGATGTGTAAATTTAAAAAATGACTTCTAAGCAAGCAACACAAGGGAAATTCTCGTTCTTATCCCTATATAGATTTTCTTGAGGTCTTATTTCAAGACATAGCCTAAACATTTTAAGTGTAATTCATTGCAATCTAAATTATCACAGAAATTAAGTGCCCACAGCTCCAAATGAAGTTCCTGAGCCCTCAGTTACGCTTTTGGAGAAAGGCGGGGGGGGGAGGAGAGAGAGAGAGACAGACACACACAGGTTCTCGCTGAGTCAGCTTTCCTGCACCACCTACAATTAGATAAAAAAGATCCTGAGCTATATTGAGGTTTCAATTTTCTGTTCTTATCTTTATACATTTATCCTTACACATACTGGGTTTTTTCTCCTAGCACTAAAGACTGATTTAGGAACTAGATCTGGGGGCAGACAAAGAATGTGCAGTATCCTATCTCCACTATGGTACTATATTATACTTTCAATGAAACATAAAAGTGCCACCACCAGGAAGGAAAGGAAGGTAAATGTAGATTCTATAAATATGAATCTAAAAAAAAATCACAAGAGTCAGAGGTTTGTTTTGACTACCTAGGATTTATATTATGGCTAGTCTGTAGTACTGCAGCAAAGGACTTGGAGGTTAAAATGGACCATAAACTGAATACGAGCCAATAGTGTGCTCTTGCAAAAAAAGCCAACAGCACACTAGGTGTACGGGAAGTAATTCTTCTGTTGTATTTGTCACTGGTGAGGCCTCATCGAGAGAACTGTATCCATTTTTGGGCCCCACACTTCAAGAAAGATGTGGACAGATTGGAAAGAATCCAGTGATGAGCAACAAAAATGATTAGAGACCTAGGAAACCTGACTGAGGAAAGGCTGCAAGAGCTAGGGTTATTTAGTCTAGAGAAGAGACAATTGTGGGGGAATTTCATAACAGTCTTCAAACACCTAAAGGGCAATTCCAAAGAGAACAGAGATGAACTTTTCTCTGTGGTCATAGGGGAATGGACTCAGATAAATGGCCTCAGACTGCAGCAGAGTAATTTAAATTGGAGATTAGGAAGAACTTTCCAACTTTAAGGGTGGTCAAGCATTGGAATAGGCTACCTAAGGAAGTTATGGACTCTCCATCACTGGACATTCTCAACAGCAGTTTAGACCAACAGTTGGCTTGGATGTTTTATTCAAAGATGATCCTGTCTTGAGCAGGGGCTGGATTAGATTACCCTGTGAGGTTCTTTCTATCCCTACTTTTCCATCATCCTGAGATCCTATGAAAACTGTACTTTTAAAATGTGGGTGTTAATCACAAGCATGTATCCTGTTATCAAACATATCCCTATTAAATGTATTATGTTTCATTAATCAATGGAAATTGATGGCTGGAAATCTAAATTGAAATTAAATTGCAAAAATAGATATTGGAATGCATGTACATTGTCTGTATATGTTCACAGAGATAGAGAGACTATAAATCAAAGTATAACAATCTGTTTCTATATAAATGAATATGGCTAGTATGATAAATATAAGATGTTTTTCTCTGAAAATGTGTGATTTCCTTCCTAAACAGAATGAACTGCGTGAAGTGAAGCTCCTGCATTTTAATTAAAGAAAAAGATGTGTGCACACACATGTACTTATTTTAAATGTTGTATTGAAATCCAGCCATGCAAGATAACTCTCAAAAGATTACTTGGAAAACAAAAAGTCCATGAATACCAGGAAATAAATGCACAGAAATATGAACAAAGAAAAAAATCCCAAACTGATGCAAGTATGAGTAATATAATTTTAGGACTCAATTGTATATAAAAGATGAATGAAAAGCATTACACAATTTTTTTTCTATACTTTAAGACCCTTAGATGTTGACAAAGAGGAAGACAATGTTAGCTTTCTTATGTGAGGAGTGCAGTAAATTTCACAGTGTAGGTAAAGAACCTGGTTTTAAGACTGCAAATTCAGTGGATATAGCAGAAGAGAAGAACAAGCCCAGGCCTAGATATGGATTTGCCTTTATATCTGATAAAACAGCAGGAGAATTGTGCTAGAGATTAAATTTTGAGAGATCTAGGCCGTGATCCAGCAAAGCATTTAAGCATGTATTTAACTACAAGCACGGGAGCAATTCAATCAATGTAAATGGGAATTAAGCACATACTCAATTTCTCTTCAAGTACACAGCCCTAAATAATAACTTTTAGTTAAACAGAACTTGTGAAATATTTCCTCAGTAGTAACATAAGTTATTAGTGAAACTGGAAATGTGAGGCCTGATTCACCATTGTACCTTTACAACTGGGTAAATTAATGGCATATTGACTGTAAAATGTCACCAGATCAGAATGATAATGTTTAGCTATGCAGAGGCCAAGAATTAGAAAAACTTGCTCTCCATGCTTTATCTCTACTTTGCCTATTGACAGCACTAGACACTGAAAGTCTGTACATCTGATGAAAATTATGAACAGTAAAATTATTTTAAAAATTCAGACTTTATAAAATAAATGCTTACTACGGGAAAAATAATTCAAAGAAGACTGTGTATTCAAAACTTTGTCAAGTCATAAGACATCCCCATTTCCCCACTGCTATCTACTGAGATGCTAAATACTCAGATTGGAGAGTCTAGTCTGTCTGGCTAAGCACAGACATTCAAGAAGCCTGAGCCTGAATTGATTTAATCTTTGCAGGTTAGTCTAACCTGGCTAGACTAAATCAGTTTTGTAGCCAGACAGACATCCCAGAAATGTAGGCACATGCCTACAGTGGCTCAGACTAGAAGCCAAGGGGTGCTAGAGCAGCCCTCCCCTCCTTCCACAGCATGGAGCTCAGGGGGGTATGGTCAGGCAGGACGCTATGATTAGTCCAGCAGGGAATTGATAACAGTGCTTATCACCTGATTAAGAAAAGAACAGAGGGACATTACCAGGTACTTCTTGATTTTCCCTGTTAATTCTACCTGCTGATTCAGCATGACTATAGCCAGCATGTGGTCTGCGAGCTAATACACAGAAACCTCCTCAGCAAGGTGGGGGGGAGGGGAATTTTTTGCTTAGCAGAGCGTGGTGAGGGGAGGAGGGAAGCAGCTCACAGTCTCTGGCGCTCCAGCCAGGGAGCAGAGGGGAGGGGCCAGCCCTGCTGTGGAGCAGAGAGCCCCGCCCAGCCCAGAGAGCATGCCAGGATGATGGGGTTGTCTGGTTTATCTTAAAGCAAAAAGGGGTCTGGGGCAAACATTGCATAAACTGGTTTGAGCCCAACCAGTTGAGTCTGATACTACATTCAACCAGTTTATCTCAAACTGGTTTTAGCCATTTTCAAACTGGTTTATGTGTAATGTCTGTCCCTAGCCTCTATGGAAACAGTGGTTGTTATTATTTTTTAAGACCTGCTTTGAGGATGATGGATCAATTGGAGTAGTCAGAAGGGCTTGAATTTGACTAGGAAGGGAACAATGATAATGAAATAATCATAATTACAAACACCAAAGTATGTATAATCTGTTTTAAGGTATAAACCAGTCTTAAAGCATCATGCTAGTGACAAATGTAAAAAGAAAGGAGTATGTAAAGGATCCTTTCTTTTTAATTCTCAAGCAACTAAAGTTAGGAGGTTGGATAACAAACTAGAAGAGTTGAAGATGCTCGCTTATGAGGAAAAAATGTGTTAAGTTTGGTGTTAATGAAACATGGAAGGAAATCTGTTATAACTGTAATGTTAAAATCAATAGTTATACCTTGTTCTAGAAGGATAGATTGGGAAAAGAGAAGATAAGAACAAGCAGTCTACCTCAAAGATACTGGAATCTATCACAGTGTCAGAGGATTCAAAACTACAGGATCTTGAATGCTTATAGATTAAAATTCTAAATAAAAATGAATACACTAAGTAAGATATTACAGACCACCAAATCTCTCAGGATAACCTGCTCTATTTACATCTGTTCACAATGTATAGGAAGAATATCCACATGAGGGGACATTTGATGGATATCTTAAGTGATGAGTAAGAAAACGTCTTTAGAATTTCTAAAGAAATAATGGATGGTTTCTTAACAAAGAAAGTTCTTCAGCCAAGATGGTTGCAACTCAGTCTTGGACCTCATTCTGACAAAGGAAGAATTAATGTCTGACCTCAGAAGTAGCAGGTGTTTAGGGACTGTCATCTGTTTACATTATGTGCAAACATTATGGCACCCAGCAGTAATATATATACTTGGAACCGTAAAAGGGCCAATTTGCCAAAACCTGCAGCAACTGCAGATGTAACCAACTGGGGTGTAAACTGGAAATGGCTTAGAACAGTTAAAAGAACCTTCTACTGACCCTGTTTCCTCAGGTAAAACAAAGGTTACACTGGGCAAGAAGTCATCCTGAGGTAAACAGAGATGTGGAAGCTATAAAACATAAAAATAAGCAGATAGAAAGAGGGAAGTAAATGGCAACAAGTATATGGTACAACTTTAAGAAATGGCACTAAGTGATAAGGGAAGCTACAGGAATCCATGAAATATCATTAGCTAATAGATTAAAAAATAATAAGGCATTTTTAAACATATTTGGAACAGAAAATCCTAAATCAGATAGGGGCATTAGACCATTGTAGTTTCAGATTCTAAAACTGCAAATAGTAAGGAAAACAAGTCGACTTTTTCAATAGATATTTCTGTTCTGTATCTAGAAAGGAGGAAAATAATGTTCCTGTCCCATATGACTTTGTGGATGGAATAGAAAGTAATAAAGGAGGATGTGATGCAGCATGTGCCAAAATTAAAAACCTTTGAATCTTCAGGATTGGATATCTTGCAGCCAACTAACTGTAAAGCTCGCTAATCCATTAATGTCAAAATCTTCTCATGAAAACTTGGAAAACTGAGAAAAATACAAGGATGAGAACACTACCAATCTAGTTCTAAAATGTAAAGTGAATAGAAAAGATGACCCAGGAACCTATAGACTGGTAGGCCTGACATTGATTCTTGGTGATAGAATGGAAAATGTAAACCTTTTCCTTATCAAAAAGCACAAATATAGACACACACACACACACACACACACACACACACACACTAGGGCTGTGCATAATTTCACTGGCTGTTTTGTTTCAATGCTGTTTCGACTTATTTTGAGCTTGAAACAGCAAAATTGAAATGAAACAAAGGGCTTCCCAACAGCCTCGAAACTAAACGAGGGCAGTTGAAAATTTTTGAAAGTTTTTAAATGTTTCAAGTTTCGAAGCTGAAGCTGTGCTTGCCTTCAGGAAAACAGAAAGTAAAGGAGAGGGAGAGGGAAGAGTGGGGAAGCCCTGCTCTGATATTGACTGTGTAGCTGGCCAGTGACTGTGATCCTTCCCTGAGGTCCCTTCCAATCCTAGTGCTCTGGGGGTGGGATGGAAATATAGCATAAAATCTGGTCTGCACAGCAGGCGGGGGGGGGGGGTCCACAGGCCAGCTGGGCACTGTGAGTGTATCAATTTAGTTGCAGGTTGACTGAGTGCTGCAACTGTATCAGCCACTGGGCTGTTTGGTTCGGGATTGAGGAAGCGGAGTTGGGAGTGAAGCAAAAACAGGTTTCACTTATAACAATAAAAATAAATTTTACTTATAGCAGCAAAATAACAACAAAAATATGTTTAAGCAGCAAAATATAGTTTACACGTATAATAGTTAATAAAAAGGTTAAACTAATAAACAGACAATATAACAATAAAAGTTAAAAATTGACAGTGATAATAAAAACAGACAGATAAATTGACAAAGAGTTCCCACTTTGTTAGCAACTTATCAATAGTCCCTCAGTGCCAGGTACATGTCAAGTTGATCCAGCAAAGTCAGGCGTCCCCAATCCACACTGTCAGAGGGAGCACCGGGAAGATCCCTCAGTCAGGATCTGGTCCTCGCTCACACTTGGAGTCTGGAGTCCAAACTAGGAACAGCAATGACCATTCTGTTCTGTCCTTCCTACTGGTCACCTGATGTGCATGTTCCTTTATATCCTGTTCTATGCTAATCTGTTGGCTTTAGAGCCACTCACAATCTTACCCTACAGCTGTTACCCTATGGGGTTAAAAGGGGTTAGAAATAATTGTAATAGGTTACTGCCTAAACTTGGGTTTACCCAATAAGCAAATCACACCACATCACTTTGGGGTCTGAGATTAGCATTTTTCCCCACCTAAATTCAATCCACTTGGAATTTTTTTGAAATGTGTTAATTATACTGTACCCGCCGGGCCTCATACATCTTACCTCGGGCTTCCTTGCTCCGAGTGCTTACCGGTACTCAGCTGGCCATCACAGGTGGCCTTCTGGGAGGTTTTTCCATGCGCCGCAGTCCGCCCTCTCTCGCCTGCCACGCCTTGAATCTTTCAGTGGGTGGGGCTTCGTGTAGCGTGGTTACCCTTGTCAGTCACCTATGTCATAGATGTCTTCTGTGAGGCTCCTCCTCCCCTGCACCTCACCCTTACCCAGCCTGGCAGATCTTGGCTGTTTCTGTGGGTGCCCGAATAATTCCCCAGGTGCACAAATAACGAGCTCACCCCTTGCTCTAGCTCCCTGCTGTCGCGACCTTAGCCCCTTCTAACCTGGGGGAACACAAACACCTTTCAAAACTCAAATAAAAACTCAATGGGCCTCAAGAGAGGCATGACCCTGCCCCTATTTGGCTTC